TATATTGCTCCGTGCTTATTTACTATTTTTCGGTTAAAAGTTTGTTGTTTTTACCGAAATTTTCTGTAATATCGTGCTCGCGCGCCTGTGCGTTTTGAGTTTGTTCGCTTGCATATACTCTCGAGGGGAGAGAGTGGAACTAGTTTTAACCTTCATGGTACTCTAATGAAAGGTCTCAACGCAAGGAATTAATTTCTACCAACCATAGCCCTCCTCCTCGACCTCTTATCGTGATCGGGTATATTACCTTATACCTTAAGAACGGATTGTCGGAAGAGGGTACTATCAAAGGGCGATTGAAACGTCTGCAAGAAATATATCCATTGGTGATGTCCATACAAAAGCTATTTCGGTTAAAAAAAATGCGCTTTATCTGCACAGGAGTTGTGCACAATTTATACTTGTTTATTTAGTGCTCGAGTTACAATTTTTGGGGGAGATTGTAGTATTTGTCTGAAATTCTGATTTGCATGGCGGACAGCAAGAAACGTTACTTTCGCACTTTTTAGGCCATCTTTAAATAAAAACTCAACCTCTACTGGCTCAGGCGAAAAATAGTAAATAAGCACGGAGCAATATAGCGTGATGCACACGACGCGACAACACAGACGCACTGAAGAGGGATCTTGAACTGGTTTCCAGAGGACACAAAAAGCATACAAACGACCAACAAGAGGGAGGGGGACGCCAGAGGCCCCTTTCTAAAATAAGGACAAAGAAGCATCCGTTATGACCGGGACCGAGGCCGCCAGAGATACCCGAAACTGCGCGTATAGCGCCTTATGCCAGTGCCGTCGCGCGGCGCCAGGAAGAGAGGTTTTGCGCTCGCCCCCTCCCCCTCCTCCCCCCCTTCATCGGCTCCGCACACGTGCACTTTCCGAAGTAATTTTTCGTCTACTTTCATTTTGGTCCTTTGAGTTTTTTCTCTAAAACCAACATTTAGCGAGTTATTCAGAGAAATTCAGTTTTTTTCACGTTTTCCAACAAAGTACCCTTTTTTGACCCCCCTCTTATCTCCGCCCCCGTTGGTCCTAGACCAAAAGTGTATATATCACTTTTCCTGCAAATTTTGTGTACTTTAATTTTGAACTAAGGTACTTTGGGCCAAAAATCTAAATTTAGCGAGATTTTTCCAAAATTCTGAATTTTGGGCCGAAATTTTGGGGTTTTTTGCATTTTTGGGGGGGTTCCCACCCCCTAAGGTTGGTGGGAGATTAAAAATTCGGAATCTACGCCAAAAAATACATAAGAATCAGTCATAACCTCTTGGACACCAAATTTTTGACTAAACTCCCTATTTAGGTCTCTATTGACTGGACTCAATCAAGGTTATTTGAGGCTTGTTACGAGGCTTTCTTTCGGTTAGGTAACATTTTCGAACAGAATGGTCAAATCTGAGAGAAAAAAATCAAGAAACCTACCGAGTCGCTTATACAGCTCAGGGCAGGGCTCAGGAGTATGAGTATGGATTTGCTCCTTTTATTTTGATCATGCTATTTTTCTACAAAAAGTATCATCAATTACTAGTTACGAGAAGATTACGACAATACAAGAACAAATCAACAAATATTTTACGCTCCCATATAAAAAAAACAACAACACGACTCATCGCACAAGCAGACAACGTAATTGAATTTAAAAGTCACTTTATTGCGAGTTGTTAAAATATAAAATACCTACATGTGAAAAGTTACATCGCACTCTTAATTAAATACATTTCCTAATAACATACCCTAAATAATCTAAACACTCTGTATATTAATCTCAAATAAAAGCTACCCACTTTTCACTACCGACGAAGCCCACAAAATTGATACAAGTCGACGAGTCGCATCCGTCGCATTGGTGGGGTTAAAACTTGAGGCGATCTTTCCGGTCTCTCTCGTCCCGTCACATACAAGAAACAAAAAAATGTAAGGCACGGACAAATATTTAATTACTGGATATTTGATTACTGGACAAAGTACAAATACGGTATTAAAATGTGCTTGAAACGGCGGGATCGGTCGACGAAGCTTCGGGCGCCACCAGACGATAATCTCCCGCCTGGACGAGGACAGCGGATTGAAACTCACGGAACGGTTATGGCTGCCCTCGTGGCTGCCACAGGTGCTTCAATCGGAGAAGTCGGTTAATCCAGGGCTTCGAAAAGGTACGGTAAAGACTGACGGTAATCTACAACAGAATTACGGACAACAAATTCCCAAAGCGGGAACGGCAAGTAATTAATTATCTAAATGAGAAAAATACAAAGGAAGAAACAAAACCACCCTTTATAAATCCTAACGGTTAAGATAGTATCTCACCTCGAAGTAAAAAACAGTCGGAAGAGCGAATTCAGCAAAATCTTCTAACGAACAAGATGGCTCCTCTCGTGCTCTTACCTATTTATTCAATCGTCAATTTGGGAAGGGAATATGTAGGAAAATCCACTCTCACTTGGATGACCGGTTTGAATTTTCCAAATTCAGTAGTTCATTACTGCTCATTGTTTCCTGGAATTTTGGGTCACTTGCCCATCTGCGATAACGGAATAAATCGAACGACCTTGCAGCTTTTAATGCTCGTTTTAAAACAGAACTTAGAGAAACTAAAATCAATTATTAACTCACACGTATCTCTAGGGTTAGGTTATCTGTAGAAAACGTTATTTTGCCCATAATAAATAACGCAAAATAATGTTTTTTGGCAGATAACCTGCACGTTAAGTTCGACGTTGCTGTTTAATTGTAGATACTGTAGTGAGACCAGGGGTTAAATACATCGATTATTACCACTCACCAGAATTAAATTAAAATTGCTGTTTATTACAATAATTCTATGTTTTTTATGTTTCTATTTTATTTATTTCTATGGTTTATTTAATCAATCATCTCTTGAAATTGCACTACGTCCCACTTTCCCAGTCTTATAACTCCCACTCTCAATATGTTTTATACTAATTGCTTGTGTAAATTACCAGATCTTCTGAATAGGTTGAAACCAAACCATATAATTTTGGTGAAATTTCCATTAAACTCGTGCAGACAATGGTTCCGAGTTTTCTGTCACTTATTTAGGTAGATGCCTACTAAGCTTTTTCTACACTACTTTCACCACCTCCGTAAATTACTTAACTCGACAACCGAACCGAACGCAACGACATCCAGCCCTCCGTCTTCTGGCCCAGATATTATTGGCATTGAATACCAATTTATGTTTCCCAGGCGGTGTGGATTTGGGGGTGAGAGTTCGGTCACTTATTTTCGTTGACAGCCCTTAATTTTCGGTCTACTTACTAACGAGTGATAAATGACAGTACTTAAGACCGAAAGTCCATGGGAACGCGGAACTGGCATTAGGGGATGTAATGTTCTGCATTTCACAGAACCAAAATTTGAAGGCTCATTTTTGGGTACACTAACAGTTGCAGCAAAATGTTCTGTGGTTCACAGAACCGAAGTCGAGGCTCTTTTCTGTCTACTGTAGTTCTTTCCAACTGACTTAATGCAGTTTAAAATTAATTAAAAGAACTCTATGAATCAATAAATATAAACTTAAATAAAGCTAATTACAAGAGAAGCAAGCAAAAGGAGATATTTAATCCCTCCTGTTAAATTTAATATAAATTACGTTAGCAGTTCGCATGTTTTGGCAACTTAAATTCAATGACCAATAATTGACATCCGGATGCATAATTCCGAACGGCTTAATTTTAATTAATCCCAATAAAGTAGTAAACCTTGCAACGTCTAGATTAATTATGTCGTTGAATCACGCCTCACCTCGAACATTTATATTGTTATTATAAAGGCTACTTGAATATATATCTAATTTAATTAATTAATGTAGTTGAAACGAATTTACCTTGAAGTGCATTAGCCCGATAGTGAGTTCGCACTTTGTGTACGTATTTAGTAACGCTGCACTCCTTATACGACCAAATTGCACCTTTCTTTTACTAAGTAAGTTGCACATTTCTACATCTTTTCTTTGTCAACGGATATCTTTGACTACCCACCCGACCGCTTCCTTTACAAGTTAAAAAACCAACTAACTATTCGTTTCGACTCCATATTAAGCGATTGGCCACGCTCGAACGTAAGTTTGTATTTCTGTTACTTTCTGGGAATTTCCAGTAATGTGTTACAGTCAGAAAGCGAGTTACAAGTAATGTAAAATCCAAAGACTCGGTAGCTAATTGTCTTTATTATGCGTAGAATTCGAAAATGGATTAAAAAAAATACTTTTCCATCTAAAAAAGACAACTTTGGTATCAAAAACTCCTTTTTGACGCATCCTGTATATTTTCTCTTTAGTGTAAAAATCCGCAAGAAAAAAAATTATGGTAGACCTGTGCGAGCGCCATTTTTTTAGCCCAGCAACTGATTTTTAAATTAATTTGGTCTGTATTTTAGCCGCTCACACAGTTATGAAAAATTCCCTGTATATTCGACATGTGCATCTATCTATCTGAAGAGGGATGATACCATACTTAATACGAACCAACTTGAAAGACTCATTTGACAAATCTTAAAATTTTAACCAAAATGTGAAGAAAGAAACCACGTCGGAGGCTGAGGAGTGTACGATTAAAATGCGCTATCAGAACATTATTTCTAGTTAACGTTGAAGTAATTTCAAATTTTTAGGTACAATCATTGAGTAATAAATCCTTCACTCAACGGTACAATGGAAATTATGGTATCGTATTCATTTCCTTGATTTGTAATTTCGATTTGACAATAATAATTTCATCCCAAAGTATCTACTGTTTCTTAAGCAATGGAATGAAAGCCCCTCATAGCGGCTACTAAACTTTTGCGTCTCCACAGTAACACAGGTGTTGGTAGTAAACAAATCTGATGAATTATTATCAGGAAAAGGTTATCACATTAAAAAATCGTTTACTACGAAGGAGACTATTACTTAAATTAGATGACCGAAGTTGATTTTGAATTGTTTGCTAAGGGGTTAGCGGATACCATTAAGTTGTATTATTTATTCTGACAAAAGTATTAATTGCGTTCCTTTTGTTTCAGTGGTAAAATGCAGTGTTGGGTGTTGGCGGGTGCCGCGGGGCAACGACTCTGCGGCAGGACCCGGCATTGCAGATGGCGACCCCAATGAGATCTAATTCGCAGGAGGCAAGCCACCGATTAAGGGTGGCGGACCCCAGAACGACGGCGAAGGCAGATACCCAGGCCTCCAATTTCGAATACGATGACAACGAGTGGGATATTGGGATTGGAAATCTAATAATAGATTTAGATGCAGATATAGAGAAAACTAACGAGGGCGCGGGGGCGGGCAGTGCCATGGCGACAAACGCAAGTCCAGCAAGTTCCGCAAAAACTTCGGCAAAGATGGCCATTGAACATTCGGCGACCGTTGATAAAGGCCTTAAAATGAAAATCAAACGTACAAAACCGGGTACTAAGACGTCGGAGGCGAAACACGAAATTGTTAAATCGAACGAACAGAATGGCAACGTTGACGGTCCGGATTTAAAGGGAGTTTCGAAACACGCTGTTGCACCTAGTATACCAAATTCAGGCCTTACCAGTAGTAGTAGTAATAGTAGCAACAGCAGCGCGAGCAATTGCAGTAGCAGCAGCTGCGGAAGCAGTAGCAGCAGCAGCAGCAGTAGTAGTAGCAGTAGTAGTGGGAGCAGTAAACGCGGTTCCAGCGGGCATCGACGCGATAAAATTCGGGACAAACACGCGGTGGAGAAACAGACTCCTAAAGTAGTGGCGGGTACTACCTCAGTGACGATGACTGAAGTGAACGGTGTAGTGAGAGTTAGTGCATCCCAAACGGGACCTCAAAGACCTCTATTTCCTACTAATACGGGCCCCGGACCTCCTACGATACAGCCTGTTGTTCCGCCACCAGGCACACCTTCCAGTCCAGCTAGTAGTGTGACAGTTACGAATACTCCTACCAAAGTTTCAACTCCAGTACTACCACAAATAACTGTTTCAGAAGAACGAAGTACCTCACCGCCTCCAACGAAAAAACTTAAAACCGAATCAAAGGTATGTCGATTCGTACTTCAAGTCGGTTTCATACACGAACTTATAAATTAAGATGGACTGCTGATCAAACAGTTGCTTAGAGGTAGAAATGGCCCTAGCATGGCCGCGGCCATGATGTGCACGTTTTAGTTATTTTCTAGAGGAATTTTCCTAGTGTTCCTAGTTTTGAGACTATTGCAGCCTTGGAAAATGACATGTGTCTCAGTAATTTATTTAGGAAATGTGAGGTTAATGCTTGTTTATTAGTTGATTTGAATTTCGCGCCAAGTGAGTGCACATCATGGCTGCCCCTATGTAGGTGTCATTTGTCAATTCAGCATTAGCAGTTCATCTTAATTTATAAGTTCGTGGTTTCACATCCGATAGCAAATGCTACTAAATGTTCGCGTTTGTTATCGCATTCCACTTTATTTCGATAGTCCAAATGATGAAAGTTTAAGTGTCACATTAGAGGCACTTATATCATCAGTTCTCAATATTTACGATAAAACATAAAAAAGAAAGTGACATCCAATGACAATTTCAACGCAATGAACTGCCAGGGCATGTCTTTCAAGAATTAATTAATTAATTCATTGTTGGTTAGCATTTTGAGCTGCAGAGTCAGTTGTAAAGAAACAACAGAGTAGGGGGCCCGTTTACCCGTTAATGTGTCGTTTAATAGACAAGTATAGGCCCCTTATTAGTGCAGCAAGAAATGTTTCTTTCTTAATCACTTCGGAATGATGCCCAAATTTGGTCAAAACCGAGGAAACAATTTTCATTTATTCCATCGTACAACAGGTGACTCACCTTTTATTAACAGTTACATGGCGGAACATACCCAAAATTGGTGAATTGCAACTCATGCCGCACATAGCCCATAGCACAAGTTTTTGTTAGCAGAGTCCCACTCCTAGAACGGGTAACTTGTCACTCTTGCGGGATATTCAAGCTTACAGTTGAAATTCGAGATTTGGTTACAGTATTTCGCATCCCTGTGGCTGTCTCCTCACAAACAAGTCAATAACTTCCACATATTTAAATGAATGGCGAAATAAAAAAAAATAGTTGGGGCCAAGACCATGTAATCCAAACATAATCATAAATTGCGCAAATATTTACACCAAAAATGATTACAGTTTCAAATAATAAAAGTTAACGGCAATTTTCATACACGTGATCCAGCATGTTCAAAAGCACGATTGAAAGTTGTAGCATTTCAAAGGGTTCTGCTCCTGTGGACAATCAAAATTAGGTAGTTGTCTTTGTGTAGTATTCAATCGAGTTCAATGAGATGGCACTACATAGCCGAATTCTTGTCCTATTTAAACTTTTATCACGGAAAAACCAAACAGCGAAGAAATTGATTCGGGCTATCTGAATCATATAATCTGATAGACACTATTAAAAAGAAAGCTTCGGTTTAGTACTAAAGAATCGATTTTTGTGAAGTCAAGGTAATTAAACTTGTTGTTTATTAATAATTTGGCATTGGGATAATTGATTTATAGGAAAAAAAACCTCAATCAGAGGTAAACTTTATTCTTCGTACAGTTTCTTAGCTAAAGTGGTATTCCGTTTTTAGGTTTTTTTTTCTACTTAAGATACTTTAAATTAAAATCCTGTCATCAGCTTGTTTGACGGATACACTTAAGAAAAAGGTCGTCGAGGTATCCGTATCCAATTGTAGTTTGCTACCATATTGTGATGCAAAGAAACAGTAAATTGCTTGGATTCAGAAACTACCAATATTAAAATTAAATTTAATTCTTAAATGCATAGAATAGATGGCTATAATAGGCAACCAACTCTACACGAATTTATTTTAAATGATAATCTGCTTCTGCTACCTATGGAAACAGTAATTTGATTATTCAAAGGAAATTAAGGTGAGTTGTTTTGTTATTATTAGAAACAAATTGTGATTTTTTCCACAAAAATGTATAGCAAGGCTGTATGGTTGAAATATTAACACGGAAGGAGGATGGTACGTGGTAACAGTTTAAGAACCGTAAAAACAGCTCCCCGTTTATCGCGTGTAATGTTGGTTGTCTACACTACAGTTATCTGTTCCATGCTGTGATACACAGTGATATTTATTTAGAAGTAAACATAGGGAGTTGTATAATATTGTTTTTCCCATCTCTACTTGCAAAAGACAAAATCGATTTTGAAGGGCGCCTAATTTTATGCATCCAAACCAACTAAATCTCGTACGCTCCTTAAACTGTTGCCAAAACAACAATATTCAAATTAATTAATGTGTCAGCCAGATCTTTATTTGTTTTAAGAAGTTATTTTGATTGCATAGAATTAGACGCCCTTCAGAAGAATTTTGTTATTTAAAAGTAGACATGGGGAAAATAATACACTACACTGTATTCCGTATAACTTCCGTTGCACGTCATCATTTTCTCTGACGTAATTACAATGCAATAATGCCAAATCTAGTTTTGAGCGATTTAGGTTATGTCACTTGTCAACAAGACAGTGTATTGTTTGTGTGAACAATCCACACCTTAAATGAAATAAATAGTTATTTATATAACAAGAGCGTGAAGTTCAATTTCGCGCATTGAGACTGAAGGTATTTTGACTTCGCGCTAGCGTTATATATAATATTTTTTCTACAACTGAACCGATTGTTCATTAAATTTGCTGTTTAAGTACAATTTTGTCACGTGCGCGAAATACTTTTTTTCACTGTTGACGATTTCGCACACGTTGTCAAGAGCAACCTTACTTATTAATTAACCGTTTAAAAATCTAGTACTTCGCGTTTCGAAATTCGTCAGAAAATGACAGGTTTTTTGACAGTTGTAGAAAAAAAACTGTCAAAGGGCGTTTTTTGAAGAGGCTGGTTAGCGTTACCCCTCGCGTTACCCATTCACACGGTAGCACGAAGCGATTTTCAGAAGCGACTTCCCGCAACAAAAGCACACGTACCAAGAAAGGGCGTCGTTTTTTTAAAAAATGGTGTCTGGTTTGAGGAGAGTTGATTTAACTTGTGTATCATTTACCTTAGTAAAGAGCGTACGTATTTGTGTACTGATATTTTGTATATAAAGATAAGTTTGTTATGTTTAAGATTGTTATTACTGATATGTGGGGGTTGTAGTGCGACCTTTGAAGGAAGGCGAAGTCGTATTAGGCTAAACACTTCATATTGTGTGGTAAAAACCATTGTAGCACGGTGTGGCAAACTCCAAAATTTTAACAAAAATTATCAAAGTCCTCGTTTGAGATCGAAGGGACTTCAGCGCATTTTTGTGTGGCAGATCAGTATTCTATTAGCCACTTTCGATTCAACCATCAATAACAGATCTTGTCGAAGGCTACTACATTCACTAACCGCTTCCCACTTTCCTCGTGCACCCGCAATTCGCTTTTAAAGATTTGACTCCACCATCAGGAAGATCGTGTCGGGGGCTACCACATTCCCTTTACGGTACCCACTTCCGACGTCCCGTTCACCCGCAATTCGCGTTTGAAGATTTGACTCCACCATCAGGAAGATCGTGTCGGGGGCTACCACATTCCCTTTGACGGTACCTCCTTCCGACGTCCCGTTCACCCGCAATTCGCGTTTGAAGATTTGACTCCACCATCAGGAAGATCGTGTCGGGGGCTACCACATTTCCTTTGACGGTACCCCCTTCCGACGTCCCGTTCACCCGCAATTCGCGATTGAAGATTTGACTCCACCATCAGTGAGATCGTGTCGCGGGCTACCACATTCCCTTTTACGGTACCCACTTCCGACGTCCCGTTCACCCGCAATTCGCGTTTGAAGATTTGACTCCACCATCAGGAAGATCGTGTCGGGGGCTACCACATTTCCTTTGACGGTACCCCCTTCCGACGTCCCGTTCACCCGCAATTCGCGATTGAAGATTTGACTCCACCATCAGTGAGATCAGATCGTGTCGCGGGCTAGCCCATTCCCTTTTACCGGTACCCACTTTCCGACGTCCGTTCACGATCGCAATTCGCGTTTGAAGAATTGACTCCACCATCAGGAAGATCGTGTCGGGGGCTACCACATTCCCTTTGACGGTACCTCCTTCCGACGTCCCGTTCACCAGCAATTCGAGTTTGAAGATTTGACTCCACCATCAGGAAAATCGTGTCGGGGGCTACCACAT